CTGGCTCCACCTCAGACACCTCCTTCCCATCTGGATCGGGCCCAGCAGAATTCTGCATGGTGCAACTTCCACAGGATGGCACCCTAGGCTCTGACCTGTAGCCTTGAACCCTGCATGGGGGTTCGGAGCTTGGGTTCCAGGCCAGACTGAGCTGGGTTCAAATCCAAGCTCTGCCACTCCCTGGCTATGGAATGTGGGGGTCGTTTTTCTCGACTCACAGTATTAGTTTTCTCTTTTGTACAATAGAGTAATGACAGCATATACACTTGGAGAGTTAATACAAGGATTAAACGTGAAAATGCTTACAAAACATCCCTAGGCTGTGTCCAGGACAGACACAAATATGTTGAACGTGCTCAAAAATAACACCTGCTGTGCCGGGCGCTGTGCATAGCGTTTAGTGTTTTGCACATAAATGCAATGAATCTCCCCAGTAACTCCATCAAACAGATATACTATTGCTATTCCCTTTTTATAGGAATCCTAAAGTTCATACAGGTTCAGTGACTTGCCCAACAGTAAATGCCATTCACTTCTGTCACTGTGTTTTGCACTAATTTGCCAGGGAGGCTCTGGACACAGCGTGTAGGCCACCGTGTTGTGCACTGTTTTGTACTATGTATCAGGTGCCATGCTCATAAATGCTGAACGTGGAGTTAGACTCTCACCCCTACAGGGTGACAGTCACTCCTAGGGGAAAGACAAGGCAGTGCCAGCGCCAGTGCCCTGGACAGGTGATCTAGACCTCGGCCTACATCACCACCAGCCAATGGCAGCAGGATGGGGGGCATCTGCAAGGGCTGGCTAATGGCTGGAACCAGGGGCTCATCCACCTGTCCTGTCACTGGAGGCTGAGTTGGGTCTCTTACACTTTTTCTTCTATTGCCATGAGGGCCATGGGATTAGGGAAGAGGCATCCCTCTTTGCCTCTGGGATCCAGGTCCAGCTCCATGGCCTCTGGTCTCAGGAATCCCTGGAACCTGTGTCCCACTGTGAAGCAGCCCTATCTGAGCCGTCACTCAGGGCTGTCCAGCCAGATGGTGCCTACTGTGTCTCAGGTCTGGAGTGTTCAGCCGCCTTCAGGGTCCCAGTCCTCACACTCAATGGTGGGCTTCTCCCAGGACCCTCTTTGTAAAGGAGAAAGATACGAGAAGGGTCCGCAACCCCTCCCTGTCTTTACTGACTCAGAAAACACATCTCCAGGACCAAAGCACTGCTCCTGCTGGAGTGTCCAAGCGAGGGAATCACCTAAGCCTTGGGATGATATATGGAGGATATCCATTCTGATCTGATCTGGAAAGTAGTGGTGCTCACAGCGACCACCACAGCTAGCCTGAGGCAGAGGTCAAACTCCCAGCGGGGCAGAGGTGATGATGGCAGGGAACATCTGGACCAAACAACAAAAGGGCCACAGAGGGACAGCCAGAACAAACCGCTTGGCAGGGAGGGGCTTTTCCCTGCCTGCAGTGTGGCCATCCTGAGTGGGCATAAGAGACAGCAGTGGGCACTGGGCTTTTGGGGAAAGTCTTCTTTTGGGGGTGGGGATAGCGTGTTATTTCCATGTTGCTCCTCTCCACATTCATGGATATCTTTTAAGTATCGACATCCCGTGGGGTTGGGCAAAGGAGGTTATTTGTGTTCAGAGGTTACGATGGGAAGGTCAGGCCAATACACTGCTCAGACAAGGAGCTTACACTGGGCTGTTCTCTGCAAGGAGACAGATGACTGGCTGGACCTAAGGGCAGTCCCAACTCGGAAACATGGCAAGGGCTGGGTGTGAAAGGCATGGCCCAATGAGATCTAGGTCCTTGGCTGTGCCAATCAGACCAGTTCTCGCTGGGTCTTGACACAGAGCATGGAGAGGAGTGATTTGCTACTAGCAAGAAAACAGAGTAAAAAGCAGAGACAAGAGGGGAGGGGGAGAAGATTCAGCTTCTGTAGATTCCCAATGACAAGGCCCCGCTATTAACCCTCTTTTCTTAGCTGGTGGACAAAGACAGCATCTGTAGTTTTGCTCTGTTAAAAGAAAGAGGAGACCAGTGGGGCCCGCCGGAGCCAGCATGGAAGTACTAGTAGAGACTGAAACGCAGGAAGCCCGAGACTGTGGCTCACTTGAAGGTCGAAATGAGAATTCACGCCGACGCTCCCAATCCCCCACCCCCCCGCCGCCTCATCTGCTCTGTGGCTGGGTAGGGGCTAGGAAGATACTCGTGGGCCTGTTCAGGAAGCGTGGGTGGATCTGTTTTGGTGGTGGTGGCACCACACCTGTGAACTCTGGCAGCCTGAGTCACCTCCACAGAGCAGGCTGAGGGCCTGAATTGTGCCTGGGAGGAGGGGGTAGGGGGAGACAGGTGAGATAAGAGCTCCCCTGGTGAACCTGGAGACTCTCAACCCTGCAGGGCAGGAACAACAGTGGGCACCTCAGCCAGGTGGGGATCTGGCCCAGAATGACTACAGACTGGGACCGGACATCTAAGGGAGAGTGTGGGATAGGGCAGGGCAGCTCAGTGGTGGGCTAGGGCCTGGCAGGTTGCAGGTGTTTCTCAGTTCCTAGCACATGCCAGGTTCCTTGATGTCTCAGCCTTGCGAAACTCCCGTGGCTTCCACCCTGGGAGGGGAGAGAGGAAGTGGAGAGGGGCTGGCCTTGGCTCAACTGCCAAGCTGCTCCGAGAAGGTCCCAGCCGTGACCCAGCTGGAGGCCTGAAGCTGTGCGGATGCTGGGGTGAGAATGAGAGAGCCAGCCCTTCTCCAAGGAAGGGAGGCTCAACACAGGGTGTAGGCCAGGCCCAGGAGTCTGAGGCCACAGCCTCCTGGCAGATGGGCTGGCTGCTGAGGCCATTTGACTCTTTGGGCCCACATGTGGCCAGACCTGATGGGACTCCAGAAGCAGCCTGTACCCAAAGCCAACTGTAGGAGCTGGGATACTCCACCTGTCTCTAGCCCTCTATCTGCATGGCTGCCACCATTCAGGGCTTCCTAAACCTTCCGGGGTCTCTTCCAGCCACTGCCCAGGTCCAACCAAAGTGTCTCCCCAGGAGTAGGGCTCCAGGACAGTCACAATCTCCAGATCAGGAGCACGGTCTGTGATAATGCAACCACAGCTTCTTCCCTGGCAGCACTGAGCTGTGGGCACTCCCTGAACTGGGGGGCTGGGGTAGGGGTGAGATGGAACCAGAAAAGCAGAAGAGAGACAGAGTGAAGCCCCCTCCGACTACAGGTCCCTGCACCCCAGAGCAGCTCCTGGCCAGCTAGGGTGCCATTAGCAATGCACAGCCATCAAATTCCATCACTGCTTCCTATGTACAGACACCATCCCTAAGTAAATGAGAAACTCAAGGGTGGGATTATGACTTGAAATTCTTTGGCACTCCAGCCCAGAGTGGCAGGTGGGCCCAAACGGCACTCTCCGCCCAGTACTTGGGTCACTGGCTGAGGGGTAATCCTCACCAACAGGAGCCCCCTAAAACTCCTGCCTGCCTGTGTGAATGGGGTGGGGGAGGGTGGCCAGACTGGGTTGGGGCGGGGCTCCTATCCTGCCTCCTGCCAGGGCCTGGCTCCTTGCAGCTCTCCCTGGCCTGGCCAGGGAGGGAGGACAGAGCAGGTGGGGAACTGGCTGGGAGGTGTAACTCGAGCCCAGGAGGAATTCCCTGCCCTTCCTCTATGCTTTTATTAAAGTAGGGAGGGGAAGGGCAAGCTTCCATCGGAAAAATCTCCCAGGGAGCCCGGGGAGATGGGAAAGCCGCGGTGGGCCAGGGAGGGAGCACCAGCCCAGCTGCAAATAGAAACGGCGCTCCGCCCGCAGCCCGGGCAGCCCAAGGGCACCAAGGCCTGAGCACCGTGCAGAAGCGGCTCCGGGTGGTTCTTTCTCCCTACTCCCGGCCCAATCCTCTCCCCGCCTATCTGGGGCAGGGAGCAGGTCTTAGAAGTCGGGGAAGAGAGGACCCTGCTCTTGCTCTGGGGCAACAGAGCTGGCGCCTTCAGTGTCCTCGCTCGGGAGACACCATGGAGCTGGGGCGCTGGCTGGACCCGGCTCTACGCCGGGATGCCGCGCCTGGTCACCCGCCGGAGCCATCCACAGCGGGGCCCCAGGAGGGACGCCAAGAGGGCTCCTAGCGAAAAGAGGCGCGGGGTCCACCCTCTCCCACCCGGGGCTTCGACGTAGGGGAGCTGTTGGAAGGAAGCGCTGTGGGAGGCAGGGTCCGTCCTTAGGACCCCGCCCGGGCGTGGCCAGGCTTCCTCGCAAGAGCACAAGAAAGTAGCCAAAGCGCCCCCGCAACCCGAGTCCGCTGCCTCAGCTGTTTGAACCCATCCCCCCGCATCCCGGCCCGCCGTGTGCGCCTCGCTATCACCCAGACGAGAGGCTACCTGGGCAGGAGCGCTGTTGCCCAGCTGCCCAGCTCCTGCTCCGCCTGTGGCTGTCCCCGAGAGCAGCCCCCTCCCCACTCGCAAAGAGCGCCACTGCGCGCCAGCCGGGCTCTCGAGGAATCGGCTGCCCTGGAGGGAAGGAAGGAGGGGAGGCAAGGGCTGGGGGCGGCGGAAGCGGCTCCCGGGACACAGGCTGAATGTGGGGGGACCGGGGTGGGGGCTCAGTGCCCAGAACAGGGCTGTACTCGGAGTAGCGGGGAGGCGCGAGCCCTGCGCCCTCCAGGGTTTGGGAAGAGGTGCGCTGCAGAGGGCGAGCTAGGGAGGGGCAGCCTGCTAAGTCTCCTTTCTTCCCCGCCACGGCCCAGAACAGGGGGCGCGTCTCCGCTCCCTCCACCTCCACGTCTCAGGCTGCGGGCGTGGCGCCTCTCTCTCTAAGCCCCCAGCCCGCAGCCAAAGGGCAGGGCGGGGGTCTTACCTCGGCATGGACCTCTGCGTCTTCGGCCGCTACGCCAAGGCCCAGGCAGCCCAGAAGCACCAGGAGCAGCGGCAGCAGTCGCGGCCGCGCCGCCTCCTCCCAGTCGCCAAGGAGGCTGCCAGTCCAGCCCGGCCGTCCGGGCGCGCTCCGGTTGCTGCCCATGCTCTCGGCGCCCAGCCCGGCCCGGAACACTGCACGCCGGGTCCTCGCACGCGCCTTGGAAACTTGCGACGCTCCCTGGCTCCTGGCCCGGCGGGCGCGCCGCGCACCTCAGGCTCCCGGTCCCCGCTGGAGCCGCCTAGGTCGCCTCGGCAAATTCCCAAGCCCGAGGAGAAGCGGGCAGGGCAGGTCCGGGAGCTCGGAATCAGCGGGCGGGAAAGGGGGCCGGCCGGAGCTACCCCCCGCGGGGTCCCGCAGCCTTGGCGCCCAGAGCCTGGGGCCCGGCTCCCGAGAGCGAGCGCAACTCCGGAGCCTTTGTCTGGCTCAGCGCTCCGGCCGCCCGGTCCCGCGGCGCCCCCTGCGCGCCCAGCTCCCTCTGTCCATGCCCGGGGCCGGGCGCTGCCCGGAGCGCGTGCCTCCTGCCCGGGGATTCTGCTCGCCGCCGCGCCCGACCGGGCCCGGGTCCCCACGCAGTCCCGGGAGGAGGCGCAGGGAGCCCACCCGAGAGAGCGAGCGAGCGAACCAGCCAGCCAGCCAAGGAGCGGGCGCCCGACGTCCCCGGCGAGTTCAGCACGGCTCCGGGCGCTCCCAGCCCTCCTCCCCGCGCGCCGCGGCCGCCGCGCTCTTAAAGGGCCAGCGTGCTCCCAGTGCGCGGACCCGGGCGGGGACCGGGGGCGGTGCCCCAGCCAGCGGCTTCTCACGAGCAGGTGCGGGCGGCCTAGGCCCGGCAGGTGGGTGGCCCATTTACTCTTCCCAGAGGGCAGGAAACGTCTCCAGCCCACCCCGCGTCACTCTCAACCCAGCGTCTGGGGGACAGGGGTGACCTCCAACGCGATCCCCCGCGGAGGGAGGAAGCAGGGAAGGCGTGGTCTCCCTGCCTGGGAGGAATGAAGACTCCTCCTTAGGGATCCTACCTGGTGGCTGGGGGTGATACTGAGGCTGAGAGGGACGGGAAGGAGGTCTTAGGGGAGGGACCAAAGAGTCGTTTTATATATATATATGGAAATTTGTCAGCCTGAAATCTCTTTTCAAAAGCCACAGGGTGTCTCTGGCCATTGAGTAACTTTCCTCATTATCAAAGTGAGGGTTTTGTGCGCGTCGAGGGCGCGTTGCGGCGGACAAGGGGCAGGTTTAGGAGGGACACGGTTCAAGTTCCGAGTCCGCCCATTAGCTGCAGCTTGCACGTGGGCAAATTAATCTCTCCGAGTCTCCATGTTCTTATCGGGAATGTGGGGCAAAGAGTTGGAGTGAGTGCGAGGTAAGGCTTCCGGTTCTTGGCCTGGCGCAATAGGTGCCCAAGCACTTTGGCCACTGGCTAGTGCGAGTGAAGTGCGACAGTGTGGCCCGACGCGGCGCGGGGCGGGTGGACACACCTCCCCGCGAAACTTAATGAGCTGGCGTTCATTCTATTCCGGAAGCAGCTTGAGGTCGGGGCGGGGTGGATGCAGGAGGCCAGAGCTGGGAGGCCCGGGTCGAAGGTCCACCGAGACCCGGGGGCCAGGCCAAGGGCAACCCTGGAGACTGACCGGCGTGGTCAGTGGGTGAGGGCGGCAGGCAGGAGGGCGGAGACCGTATTCCTTATCTTCAGACCCGGAAATGGAAGCTGTCCTCACCTGAGGGCGGTTTTCTCTAGAGCAGGCCCGCGGGGCACCCCAGCCGGCCTCACCTCCCGGAAACTGGAAATCAGGAGACCTGGCAGGGCGCCTTAGAGAGCGCGCATTTGAACCCTCCTGGGATGTCCTTGGGGAAAGGAAGTCGGAATTTAGAGAAAGGAACCGGGCAATTTCATCATTTCCACGGACTCACTTCTCTGTAGGATCCTTCATCTGGGAAGTGGGTTTCTAAATTCTCCACTTTGAAATTTGCTTTTGGGAAATGTGCAGTGGTCTTCAGACACAGACAACAGGGCTGTCCTTGTTTAATTGACCACGTTGCACTCTTTCATGATATTTAGTCCCGATTAGCCAATTTAAAAAAGTTTGGGGCTAGGAAAAGTGGCTCAAGCTTGTAATCCCAGCACTTTGGGAGGCCGAAGCGGCAGAATTGCTTTAGCCCAGGAGTTCAAGACCAACCTGGGCAACATGGCAAGACCCCATCTCTACAAAGAATACAAAAATTAGCCAGGCGTGTGTACATCTGTAGGCCCAGCTACTTGGGAGGCTGAGGTGGGAGGATCACTTGAGCCCAGGAGGTTGAGGCTGCAGTGAGCTATGATCATGCTGCTGCCCTTCAACCCAGCTGACTCAGAGTGAGACCCTGTCTTAAAAAAAAAAAAAAAGTTGGGGCTTAAGGGGCTATTAGTGAGAGGAGCCTAGGAATGAATGGAGCAACATTCTTAAAGGCCTGGGTCAGTCAAGTCTGGTGATTTTCTCTCTGTTGGAGGTTCCTCTCTTGGGGTCCAATCCTGCCTTAAGGAAATGACATCCCCTGTGACCATATCTTGAAGCTCCCAATTATTGGGTCTGGCTCCTATAGGTACTTTGGGAATCCAAGGTGGATTAGCATCTACATCCAACCCAAGATAGCTGGGTTTCTACTGGGTCTGGCCAGCACCCAAAGCCCAAAAGGACTAGTCAGTGGGACTGAGATGTGTGAACTCCAGCCCCTCCATCAAGAACTTTAAACCTTATCCATATTTTGCCAATATCGTTTCATCTATGCCCTGACACCCCCGCCCACCACCACACACCTTTTTTTCTTAGTCTTTTGAATGAAAGCCCAGACATGGTGTTTCACAGCAGTTTCATTTAGAGGTCCCGATGTGGTGTGAGGGGTTGTAAAAAGCTCTGGATCAGAAACCAGGTCCCTGGGTTTTTGCCTCAGCTGTAATTTACTGGGCAATCGGAGCAAGTTATTCCCCTCTTTGGGTTTGTTTCCTCATTTGCGAAAGGAGAGTTCTGAGGTCGTAGGGGAGGTCTCCTGTTCGGTGAAGGAAAGTAGCTGTGGGCTGGAACTGGGCCCAGGACACCCCCTCCTCCAGCTCTCCCCTCCAGGGGCCCCTCAGGCGATGCACCCACCCAACACACCATCAAAGGTGAAGCAGGCCTTGGGACTCTTGGTGCCAAGACAAGGAATAAACAAACAAGCCAAGGTAATTTCCCTCTCCCTTGGAAATAAAGCTGGGGTGGTCTGAAGAGGCGCTGGAGAGTGCCAGGTGGAAATCAGCCAAACAGGCGTGAGATGATTTCCCTGCCCTGTGGGGAACATCTGAGGACACCGAGGCCAGATGTGTTGATTTTGTACTCTCCCTGGTGTGATAAAATCCTCATCAAGAGCATTTCTTTGGGCCAGCCTGCCTGGCGGGGACTGCAGCCTGCTCTGGTCTTCCCTGTGTCTCCAGAGTTGTCTCCGAGGTTTCTCCTCTTATGGAGAATCTCCTCTTATGGAAGAGCCCCGGCTGCTTCTGCACTGTCAGCGGGAGCGCTTGCTCAGCGGGCTCACTCTGCTCCAGAGGCACACTCAGTGTCTGGGTGCCCGCCAAGCTCCTGCCGCCAGCCTCCTCCTCAGGCCCAGCCTGCCCACCCCTCCCCCTCAGCGAGGCTCCTGCTTCCTTCCTCCATTGCCACCTTCCATTCTCCATTGAGGAGCCGGTTATTGATCTTGGCCCATTTCTCAAAGTTGCTGCACTCAAATTCCATCCTCAGCACAGACGGACTCCCCAGCCACATCCTCCCCTGGGGGGAATGGCCCCGTCCCTCTTCCTGGGCTTGTTGATGGAGGTCTTACCTCACACCTGCCCCCCTCCCAATAAGAGCCAGTACCGAAGTTTGGGGAAGTGCCATGTTGAGGATGCGGATTCTTCTCTGTGCTCCCTGCCTGTTCAGCCCTGCTGTGAGCACCCAGAGGGCAGACCTAGTCTGGTTCACCAAGTGCCCAGTTCAGGGCCTGGCACAGGGCAGGTGTCAGTTAAGTACAGGCTGCACAGCCAGAGTTGTCGTGTTGCCTGCAAGCCAGAAAGGATGCCCTGCATCTTCCTCCTCTCCAGAAGAACCAACCCAATGATGAGTTGGAGTCAGATCAATGCAGTGGGGAGCAGGAACAAGGCCCAGAATGTGCCTGGGTCTTTCAGTGCAGCGGCTGGGAGGCTGCCCCTTTAGGAAAGGCGGGGCAGTGGGGGCCACCATGGGAGCCTGGGCAACAGGCCCCTCACCCCACACCTTTCCCTCAAGCCCTGTGTCCCCACTCAGATGCCAGGCCTGACCATGAGGTGGTGTGCTGGGCTGGATCAAGGCTGCCCCAGCACAGGACCTGAGGTTAGGGCTGAGTACGGCCCTTCCTTGTGATTTCTCATACAAGCAAGTCACTTAATCTGTTCTTTTAACAGCGGACTAGCCATCCCCACCCTGTTTACCTTTCAGGGGGGATACTGGGAGGAAGACACGAGAAGGTTCCAGGAAGCGCTCAGTGTCACAGCAGTATAAGGTGTCAATGTCTGCCTATGTGGGTGAGGGATGAGGGTGGTGACCCCTGCCACATGCCTAGCTCCAGGCTAGATGTGCTATGTGAGAACTCTGTGTGTAGACCTTGCGGGCCGGGTGACTCCTCCCTACCCTTATTTTACTGAAGCATCATTAATGCCTCTCAAGGCCACCTTGGAAGTCACAGTAGAGACTTCCAAGAGTCCCCCCAAACTGAGAGACACAGCTGGACAGGGTAGGGGAAGGTGAAAGTCATCTTTTCACTGGGTTAAATACAAGTAGTCCAAAAAAGATCCAAAATAAGAAACGCAATTTTTAATTTGTTGAACATAATTTAAAACTGTAACATAAAAAGATTTCTCTATCCATCACCAGAAATCCAGAAGACACCTGAAGAGGACTGACTGACTCCTTGCCACGCGGAAGGTTTGATGAAAAAGTTAAAATCCCATGCATCCCTGGCCCTTCCTCCACGTTGCCCCTCAGAATGCTGCAGCTGCAGCAGGCAGGAGGCAGCAGCAGAACCCGGGCTGTGGAAGGCCCCTCTGCCTCTCTGGGAAAGCTGCTGGGGAAGCCAGAGGTCACAGTGCATTGGAGGCCTGGCTTTCAGCCACTGGCCAGGCCAAAATGAAACATCTGTTCAAGTCTCCCCAGGCACCTTGCTAGGGTGAGCGGGAGAAAGAGGGAGAAAGAAGTGGAGAAAACTGAGGCTGGGTCACCAGTTCTCATCCTGGACCTTGGCCTTGAAGTAGCCCCTGCTGGCACAGGAGCAGGGTGAGAGTAAAAGTAAATAAATAAAAGCGACATGCTTCAAGGAGAGAGGGTGACAGACCCACTGAAGCACCCCGTGTCCCAGCTTGGCCAGGGATAAGCCAGGGCGTGATGATTTAAAACACTCTGATCTGAGGCCAATGGCATCAAAATACAAATGCTGAAGTGGGAGAGGGAGTGAAGGGCTGTTTGTTAGGGGGACTACAGTGGAGATTCTGGCGAGTGTGGGTGGGCTCACCACTGACCCCAGTATTTTCTTTGCTTAACAACCAGATTAAGAATTAGGATGCCCAGGCTGCCCTCTACTGGCAGTTTCTGGGAAGGACCACAACACAGTCGCACCCAACCTGCAACCCGCAACAGCCCAGAGAGGAGAGAAAGAAAGGAGAGAGAGAGGAGAGGAAGACAGAGGGAGGGGAAGAGAAAGAGAAAGGGGGGGGGAGAGAGAGAGAGTGGGAGAGAGAGAGCGGGGGAGAGAGAGCGGGAGAGAGAGAGAGAGCGAGAGCGAGCACTCGGAGGATGAGGAGTGGCTACACTTTCTGCCAGGCTGAAGGCATGGCTGGGACCTCCTACTGGGAGGCTAGAAGCATCTCCATTGATTTTAGCAGGTTCCTCCATCTCAGCCTGGTCTGCAGAGGGCCCTGGAGGAGGAAGGCCTCTGGTGCTCACTTCAAAGGCATCGAGAAGAACTTGTTCCCAGACTTGCAGCGGACTTGCTCGATGTACACGCGCAGCAGCACCTCAGCATCTTCAAACCCATCCACGATTGCCTTAAAACAGCAGCCAGGGGAGGACAGTCACATTAAGGGGCATCTGGGACCCAGAGGGCACTGCAAACAAAACCAGCTCACCCAACTTCAGAGGCTGCAGGCTCCAGGCTCTGCATTATTGATCTTGTCTGATCACTTCTGTAATATCTGAGGTTGGTCCCATCATCCCAACTTTACAGATGAGGACACAGATGCTCAGAGCCCTGGATTACAGAAACCAATAAAACCAGGCCTGGGACCCAGGTCTGCCGGAGCCCAAACTAGAGCTCTTTGCCACCTCCAGCAACATCAGGCCAACAGCAAGGCGGCTCCTTAATGAGGGAGCACAGCTGCGTCCAGCCTGCACATGTTTGGTTTGGCTTGCAAAATGTTTTTTAAACATCCAAATTAGTTGCTGACATTTAAAAACTGACAAGATTACATGTAAAAACCTAGGTTTCTGGCTTCTCTTATGAAGCAGAAGTGTTGGCAACTCTAGGCCAACCTTCCTGCATGGCCATACTCCCTACTGTCTCCCCAGCTGGGGCTGGAGTATCAGCCACCACTTACCACTTCATGTAACCTGCTGGTTCTCCTCCAAGAACGCACATGGGAAAGTGGAATCTTTCAGCTACTTATCAAAATTTGATAGACTCTGGGGGCTGGATGCTCCTTACACCTGGTACATTTCACCCATTTCCAGTGCCAGGCCCAAGCCTCTGACCCCTGGGCAAGTGGCTAGGACTTCAGGGGAAGCCTGCAGCCTCCTCGCAGATCAGGGTTCTAGGGCAGTGCTTCCCGAACTGTCATGTGCACACAAATCCCTAGAGATCTGTTAAAATGTAATTCTGATTTCTTAGGTCGGGGGTTCAGGGGGGTAAAGATCTGTATTGCTAATAAGCTTCAGGTGACGCTGAAGCTGCCAGTCCAGGGGCCACACCTTGAGTTGCAAGGGAAGGTGTTGGGGGTCTCCTGCCATGTCATTTGTTTCCCAGGGATTCGGGTTTGGGTGCCTCATCCTCCTCCTCTCCAGCATCTGTCCCGTCATTTCTGGAGTTCAGCGCGCTCTGTGTTCCCGCCCTGGAAATTCACCTGTAGTTCCTGCAGGCACTGCCCCTCCAGCTGGAGACGTGCATCACCCACGCACCAGGCCAGGCTGAGGTGGAAAGAAGGGTCCTGGGGAGGGAAACGAGAGGCAGGCGGTCACCTGGACACCTTGGCAGGCCCTGCCATCACAGCAGGTCTGTGACAGAGCTGTCGTGACGTCCCTGCTGGATCCCTGGCCTGCCCAGTGGGAGACAAGATCCTCAGTGTTGATCCCAAGCACCCTCCACAGATGGCCAAAATAGCATAGGACTGGTCCTTGCTATGGACTGAATCATGTCCCCTCCCCCAAATTCATGTAGCCCTAACCCCCAATGTGATAGTATGTAAAGATGGGGCCTTTGAGGGGTAATTAGGGTTAGATGAGGTCATGAGGGCAGGACCCTCATGATTAGTGCCCTTTAATCACAGAGAGCTTGGGCACTGCTCTCTCCCTGCAGCCCCTGACCCCTGCCCCACCATGTGAGGACATGGCTAGAAGGCAGCCATCTATAAGCCAGGAAGAACCCTCACCAGAAACCGACCACACTTGGCCGGGTGCAGTGGCTCACGCCTGTAATCCTAGCACTTTGAGAGGCCAAGGCAGGCGGATCAGGAGTTTGAGACCAGCCTGGCCAACACGGTGAAGCCCCGTCTCTACTAAAAATACAAAAATTAGCTGGGGTGGTGTTGCACACATGTAGTCCCAGCTGCTCGGGTGATTGAGGCAGAATTGCTTGAACATGGCAGGCGGAGGTTGCAGGGAGCTGAGAATGCGCCACTGCACTCCAGCATGGGTGACAGAGTGAGACTGTCTCAAAAAAAAAAAAAAAAAAAAAAAAAAGACATCAACCACACTGTCACCTTGATCTTGGACTTCTAGCCTCCAGAACTGTGCAAAAATAAATTTCTGTTATTTAGGCCACCCAGTCTATGGTATTTTGTTATGACAGCCTGAGCTAAGACAGTCCTATTCACAGAAGCTTTCCTTGAAGTATCATAGAGAGTCATTACATCTGTGACGTGAAAGAAAATCCACCGTCTATTCTGATCTAGGACATTCCAGTATACACCATACTTTTCAGATGACATGAACAAAATCCCCAAAGTCTCAAGTTTTGAAGCAACAATAATTGTCACCATTCAAATTCATACTTATCTCCCTCAGCACGGTTTAAAAACATACATCAAATAAAACGAATGGCCCTTCAAAGCCCTGGTAGTCGACTTAGAGCCCAGGTGCCGTTGGAGGGCCTGGGCAAGGTGCACGAAGGTGTGTGAAGCTACAACTCTTCTCTGAGGGTCAATTTGACCAAAAATTATTAGGGACGTCTACTTAAAAAACGTGAAAACAACATGTGAACATTATGGAGCAGAAGGTACAAATCTCGGGTGTATTTATGATACAAAGCAAGATTTCTAAGAAATGTTGGACTTTGGGTGGGCTGCATCTGACTACAGCTCAAAGCCTTCACTCCTGAGGTGTGCATCCTCAGAAGGCTGGCATTCAGAGCACTGACACGGGAGGTTCTGAAGGGTCTTCAGTTTGCCTCTTATGAGGGCCTCTTTAAAGACAGTTTTATTCTCATTAGAAATGGGTCAGTGGAGCAGCAGCAGCCCTATTCATTACCTGGTAGAAAGTGGTGAGGTCGAATTCCTCCATGACTCTGTCCACCTCTGAAACTAGGTCCAGGAACTGGGCGTGCCCTGAAGTGACCTCGAGCCCAATAAAGGTCCTGGGGAGAGGAAGACAACACAGGCATGAGATGCAGCCTCTGAGAACACCAGCCATCTGCGCAGCCGAGGAGGAGCCAGGCAGAAAGCCAACAGACCTGGGCCGTGGGTCTCACCCTGTCTCCCTGGTACACTCGCTTTCCTGCTCCATGAGCCAACTCTCTCAGTCCCCACATTCTCTGTCTGTAAACCTTCCTTTCCCAGTTCTCACCCACACAGCTCTCCTCCCTCTCCTGGATCTGGTAACCCTTCCAGGAATGCCTTCACCCACCACTGCCAAGACACAAACCCAGAAGCTTCTGCATCTCCATTCTCCATTCTCCATCACCGTTCCAATTGCAAACGACTCCTGTCCTCAAGGAGGCCTCTTCTCAAGGACTTTGCTTCCTGGCATCTGCCACACCTCCCACAAGCACTCACACATGCTTTCTCTCATCTTTAAAAACTCTCCCCCAGGCCGGGCGCTGTGGCTCAAGCCTGTAATCCCAGCACTTTGGAAGGCCGAGATGGGCGGATCACGAGGTCAGGAGATCGAGACCTTCCTGGCTAACACAGTGAAACCCCGTCTCTACTAAAAATTATAAAAAACTCGCCGGGCGAGGTGGCGGGCGCCTGTAGTCCCAGCTACTCGGGAGGCTGAGGCAGGAGAATGGCGTGAACCCAGGAGGCGGAGCTTGCAGCGAGCCCAGATCGCACCACTGCACTCCAGCCTGGGCGACGGAGCGAGACTCCGTCTCAAAACAAACAAACAAACAAACAAACAAAAAAAACTCCACCGTGAACCCACGGCTTCAGCCAGTCCCCATCCCATTCTCAGTAAAACTTCTCAAAAAGACAATTTGTCCACCATCACTATCTCTTTCTCACCTCCCATCTTCAACCCACTTTGCTGGAAGTGCTCTTGTCAAAGTTGCCAACAACCTCCACGTTACCAAATCCAAGGGACACTTTGCTGTCTGCCTCGTACCTGCTCATCAGTATCTCACACAGTGGACTCTTCCCTCCTTGAAACCCTTTTCTCTCTTGGCTCCCAAGACACCACCTGCCATGCAGTCCTGGTTTAATCCTGCCTCCTGTCTCCCGGTTCAGTGTCCTCTGCCATCCTCTCTCCTCTCC